TATATATATATATTGAATCCATGTATATGCTTTAATTGCATTTGCAAAATCAATGAAAGTACATCCAATTTTCATAACATCTCAAATGCTTGTCTGAAAAAAGAAAAATTAAAACCATTACATAGGTTCATGGACCAACTAAGTACAGAACCAACAAAGTACCTAACGGATTTACCAAAGTGGTTGTTTTCCTTTAGTATCCACATGTTCGTCAACAGTGGTACTGTGATTCGAAGCACTATGCACATCCGGGTGGACTATTTCCTTCTCGACCGTACCAAAAATAATCTGCAATTTAGCCCATTGTGGGTCGCCCATAGTTTTGTAGGCCAGACTAATAGGTTCATCCTGCAAAATATGTAATAATGTCAATTACATAAAGATAACCTAGTTAAAATATAAGAAAACTTTGGAAATTTATCAATCACGTAACGTACAGTAAACACCCTCTTCCATGTTTATTTTGGTCCCCACATAAGACCACTCTCGCAGCAGTAGTTGATACCATACTTTGTAATCATTTCCCTCATCACCCTATGCCTTCTTCTAAAATGCTGAAACCTGTGCTCACACTCTATTGAAGTAAAAGATGTACCGAACTGAATAGTCAACATATCCGCACTTAAGGTAAACAATGAGTACCCATCCTTTTTATTGTCGGCAAGTAACAACGGGAAATGGGGTTGTGTTGATACCAACAACAATGCGAATGACTCGTCAACCTCGACTGTCCATTTATCGTTAAACAAATATTGTTTTTGTTCGGGCGGGATATGAAACTCCATAGTTGTTTCATGTACATATTTTCAGTTGGAAAAACAGTTAAAACTAATGTAACATCATCGTCGAACCCATTTATGTTGTATAACTTCAATTCACTCGACAAATGTTGTATTTAGTAAGCCACCAGTAGTCCTACTCAACATATTCATACAACGAAGAATTAGAAACCTCTACTCATTCATCACACTCATTCCAGTGGCATAAGAATCCCCTTCAATTAAACCTAATAAAATCTAAAACTAAACTTCGTAAGCAAGCATATATAATTAAACAGTATGTTCCACATGAGGAAGAAGATAAAGGGAAATCTAACAAGTACAATTACGTGAATTGACATTTATGAAAATTATCCAAATTAAACAAATTATCAGGCTGCTACAAAAAATGAACCCCAATATAGATGTTTAGGTCATGAAACAATAAATTACAACAATACTTCAACTCGAAAGGTCGATATAAGAAAAAAACAACAACCTGGCAAACTCAAATATCTAAAATTTGTACTCTGCCAATCGAGATTTGAACTTCTACACTCATACAAACAGTGCATGCAAATTCGTAATACACACACATCAAATACATATATCAAGTACTAAATTGTTTCTAACATAAGGCATTTAGACGAACATAGCAATTTTGGGCAACAGAATTCACAAATAATCTCTTAACCTAGTTTATGGAAGACGACAAATTTAGGAATAACACTCTCTTCAAATACGCCTATGAAGAACCAAAATCGTTTTAACATAAATGATTTAGACGAACATGGCAATTTAAGGATAACTCACCTCGAGAAACCTCGCAGCCGACGGTGCGATTGGCTTCGGACGACACTACGACGCCAATCCTGATTTTCGGCGAGCTGCTTATGCGACGAATGGGTGCTGATTAGAGAGAATGACGGGCGATTTTGGAGGAGGTAGGGTTTTCTTTTTCTCTGAAGTGTGATGAATCGATAGTTTTGTGATTTTGAGATGAGGGTAAAATTAGGATTTGGGTGTTAAATCATATTTTGCAAGGTAGGTTAGTAAACATAGGATGTGATAAAATAAATTGGATTATTTAAGGTAAACATTGGATAAAATCCATGTCATTGAATAAGTGGTCATATCCTGTCAAATCCTTGTCACTGCTAGTAAATGAGGCCTAGATGTTTTGCTCTTGTAGAGAGATTACAATGTATTTGAAAAGGTGGAGAAAATAGGTCCTTATCTATGTTGCTCTAAGAATTTATATAAAGCCTTGCGAAAAATTTATATTAGATAAATAAATATGTACTACAATATATTTAATAAAATTATTTTTATATAAAAATTAATTTAAAATAATAAGAATGAAATGAGAATAAAATTGTGGAATAGCAAACATTTGGAGATGAAATTTATTTGATTTTTAAATCTAAGTAACTAAATTTTAAGTAGACACAATGTTTGGACAAAGACATGAATCCTTTCATTTTTATGTTCATATAAACGGCACACGTTATTAAAAAGACAAA